CTTTTAGTATGTATAGATGATCTGAAAATAGGTGTGATCTAAAATAATCAGTATTTTAAACAGTTGGTAAGTAAATCTATTGATTGAGAAAAGTAATTTTGATGTAGGTAGTTGGTGGAGCTTGAAAGCACTGTCTGAAAGGTTAATGGAAGTAAATTTAATGGTGACTATGCAAATGGAATTAGATAATTATTTATGACAGAATCTTGCAGGGGACTAAGCAACTTGTGCTATGGCGAGATTTGTGGCAGATTTCAGGTGAGAATTCTAAGGTCTATCTGGATGTCACAAGCAACTTCTTTGTGTATATTTAAGGCTGATTGATTCTTTATCAGTGGAGCAAGAGGGCCATGGTGAATATGGCGGAAAGTGAGGCATGTTAGATCAGCCAAGATCCAGTTGAATGGCGGAGCAGGCTCGAAGGGCCAAACCGCCTACTCCTGTTCCTTATTGCACCTTTTTATGCATTGCCACATATTGAGGTGACTTTCTTTCTAGGCAGTAGCGAGTTGCCTATTAAGGGGGATTATTGCTTGTTAAACCACCTTAATATTAGCACATCTCACCTCATTGATTTTAATGTCACATGTGCTGAAATACAGTGAAAAGCTTTGTTTACGAGCGGTACTGACAGATCACAGCGAGCAAAGGATGTGCAGATCAAAAAGACTTGGAGGCATACAGGTTACATTATTTGACCCCAGTGTCCATTCAACAGACTGATACGGCCAGAAAGAAGCTGTTCCTGAAGTTTCATAGTACTTGGCGTCTTCAGTTCACCACATGTTGCAAAGGGCTGCCGTGTTGGACATCTGCGATAGTTTTCTTGAACAGTATGTAATGGAACCGATGAGGGAGCAAACTACCCTAGATCTGGTCCTATGTAATGAGACAGGAATGATTAAGGATCTCATAAGATCCTCTTGGAAGGAGCGATCACAGTATGGTTGAATTTAAAATACAGATAGAAAGTGAGAAGATAAAATCCAATACCAGGGTCCTGTGCTTAAGCAAAGGAGACTACAATAGGATGAGGGAGGAGTTGGCTCAGGTCGACTGGAAGCAAAGATTTTATGGTGGGACAGTTGAGGAACAGTGGAGGACTTTTGAAACAATTTTTCAAATGCTCAGCAAAAGTATATACCAGCGGAAAGGAAGGACTGTAGAAAAAGGGGTAATCTAAGGAATGTCTAAGGAAATAAGGGAGGCTATCAAATTGAAAGATAAGGCATACAAAGTAGCAAAGACCAGTGAGAAACTAGAAGATTGGGAAAACTTTAAAGGTCAACAAAAAGCCACAAAAAAGCTAGAAAGAAAAGTAGATTATGAGAGTAAACTAGCTCAGAATATAAAGACGAATAGCAAAAGTTTCTGCAAGTATAAAACGAAAAAGAGTGGTTAAGATAAATATTGGTCCTTTAGAGGATGAGAAAGAGGATTTAATAATGGGAAATGAGGAAATAGCTGAGGCATTGAACAGGTATTTTGTGTTGGTCCTCACAGTGGAGGACATGAATAATATGCCAGTAATTGATGACAAGGAGACTAAGGTAAGTGAGGACCTAGAAATGACCATTTTCATGAAAGAGGTGGTGTTGGGCAAGCTAATGGAGCTAAAGGTAGATAAGTCTCCTGGCTCTAAGGGAGTGCATCCAAGGTACTAAAAGAGATATAGGGAGAAATAGCAAACACGCTCGTGGTAATTTTGCATTCATTTAGAAGAATGAGGGGTGATCTTATAGAAACATGTAAAATTATGAACGAAATGGATAAGATAGGAGCAGCGGGATGTTTCCATTGGCAGGTGAAACTAGAACAAGAGGCATAGCCTCAAAATTAGGGGGAGCAAATTTAAAACTGAATTGAGGAGGAACTTCTTCACCCAAAGGTTCTTTGGAATTCCCAGCCCAGTGAAGTAGTTTAGGCTTCCTCATTGAATGATTTTAAAGCTAAGGTAGATAATTTTTTTTGAACAGTAAAGGAATTAAGAGTTCTGGTGAGAGGGCGGGTAGGTGGAGCTGAAGCCACAAAAAGATCAGCCATGAATGGCAAAGTGGGCTCAAAAGGCCATGTGGCCAACTGCTGCTCCTGGTTCTTATGTTCTTATGTTTTTATATGGTGCAATCATCTCTGGGCAAGCTCGTTGTGCACTGGGCAGATGCAACTCATGGAAATTGGGATCTGACAATGTGCCAGCCCCTAAGAAGCCACAAGGTATATTCCACAAACCATTTACAGTGCGCTTCTGCACTTCAGTGCTGCAACTCTTGGAACCTTGGCAGCTATCATAGTAATGCTGCAACAAGTATGCTGTGCACTCGGGGACACAAACCCAGATGCTGAGGCTGCCTCTCCAGTCTGGTTGCTTGCTCTCTTAGCATGTGCTTACTCTTAGCCTAACTGGATCTTACTGCATTTTTTGTTTTTCATTGCCTTGTCTTTCATTTTAGAGCTTTGCCCTGTTAGCCAGAGATGCCAGGCTCACAGTACTACTGTCCAGGCCAGGAAGTTTGTCATGATTATGAGCAGACTGTAGACAAGTTGAGGGAGATAGCCTTCAGTCAGGGGGTCCTGGGTATAGTAAATCAAGGCAGCTGCCAATACCAGTCCAGGGGCTTGGACACAGCCACTCAGGGAGGTCAGGATGCTTCCCATGTAAAGGGTGAGGAGCAAAATCGCAGGTGGCCAGCCCATTACTCTTTCTGCCCTGTTGTGGGCTGGTTTCCTCCTGGAAAAAAACAAGAGTCAGGTATTAAGGGTGATGAATGTGCATTTCACAGCTGTTATTTTGTGATGCTATTGGGGAAATGTCCTGAGCTAATGAGTGGGCAGCAGAGAGGGCGTGCAACATTAGTGATGTTGGGGGTTGATGTGTGTGAGAGTGAGTGGGGAAGAGTTGTATGTAACACAGAGCATGAGCCTTGATGAGAGGTGGGTACAGTAGCACAGAGAAAGAGAGAGAGAGAGAGAATGGAACAGTTCAAAGAGAAGATAATGGCACTGATACATGTAGTCTGTTCCCACCTTTTTAGTGTTGTTCATTCCTCCAAGATGCCTGAGTGCATAGGTCCAGGTGGTAACTTCTCACAAGACCGACATAGTCGAGTGTTGTGGCCACCACTGCTGATTCTGGGGAGAGATAATGTCCCACCTCTGTTCTGCAACTCCCTGTACAGCAGTTTCCCCAGGTCCCTGCCTGCAAAAAGGTGCATCAAATTTCACTTGTCTGCCATGTCCAGGGCAAATGTCAGGAACCGTATAGGGCAGCTTTGGACTAACAGTGCTCATCCAAGTGTACAACATTCATATTGAGAAGGTGCCCCCACCACCAGGAATTCCAGTCAATTCTAGGTTATTCTGACACTGGACAGTTCTTCGAGGTACAGATTATGGTAAAATGAGGCTAGAATCGGGCGAGATCCATAACTGTGGGGTAGATAGTTAATTAGACTAATTTGATATGATTTGATATGTTACAGCGAGAGTTCATATTCTGATAGAGTCTACTTTTATGTCATCCTTAGCAATCCTGTTGGCAAAATCAGTTGTGCTGTTTCAATTCTTATTCTTAACCTTGCATATAATAAATTTTTACACGCTCTGGATGCATAAGCCCTCAATATGGAGACACGAAACATTGGCTAGAAGTGCAAAATCCTTCCACCATATCAATATGACCAAAGGAAAAGCCATCCAGGGTGTGCATTTGAAACAATTTAGGATCTCTGCATGTGCAAATAAAGGGCCTGTTGCCTTTTCTCTGTATACAGACAGCACTGGGCCGTCTGTAAACAGGAAGATCTGCCTTCCAGGCAACCTGAAAGAAAACGACAGACCATCATCTAAAATATAAAAGTTTACCCAAAACTTAAGTCAAATTTTCAGCTAGATAGTGTGGAGTGAATAAGTAGGGAGCAGGAAAGGATTATCTGATCTATTGAGCCTGCTCTGCCATTCAATATGACCATGGTTGATCCGCCTCACCTCTACTTTCTTGCCCGCTCTCCATATCTCTTAATTCCTTGAGAGGCCTGTCTGTTTCAGCCTTAAATATATTCAGAGTATATGAGCATTTACCATTCCAAAGATTCAGAACCTTTTGTATGAAGATATTTATCTTCATTTCAGTCTAACTGATTTACCCCTTATCCTTAAACTGTGTCCTCATTGTTCTAGATTTTCTCAACAGGCAAAGCAACTGCTCCCCACTGCAGAAATATGTGGGAGTGCTACCTCTACAGAACTGTAGGGCAGCCAGACCATTGCTTGTCAATTGCCTTTTCATCCCTCAATTGTTTTCGTTCTGAAGTTCCCACTCCCCCAGTTGTCATCTGAGCTGATCATTTTCCTTCCTCTTTAAGCACTTACATAAAGCTGCTCACAGCAACAGGACTGCCAAGAATTCCACGCCTGCATATTTACATACTGTCAGGGCATGCCTTGTGTCATTTCAAAAGGACCAATATCACTGCAATCTACCCTGTTAATGTGCTGGGATCATTCTGCTGCATACAGCCAGAATAAACCCTTTATGGTTACTTCCTTAAGATTGAGATCGTTTCTAGAGATCAGAAGGAGGATTCTAAGGTTGAAGATGAGGCTATTAAAATTGTCTCACTAATACAACTATCAATTTGCAACAACAAAGATTTTAGCATGGTTATAACATTGTAATTCTTCAATAGGTACAGATTCTGACCGCACTCCTTTGAAACAGAGTTCAACATACTTAGTGCCTCACCGACTGATGTTGAATTTTAACAAGTTTGACAGTACTGTACCTTATTTCAAAATGTGATGTTTAACTACTTAAGTCAAGTAGCACTTTTAGATTCTGATTGCTGAAGTACTAACCCTGTGGATTCAGCAATATATTTCGAGACCATTGTGAGTTGATTATAGAGGTTGCTTGTACAGAATGCAGCAAATTGCAAGCATTCAATTGTGACTTGTACTATATCATAATTGATGTTCCCTTAAGGCTGATTCTTTAATTTCAGGTGGAGATGGGGCATCTGCTGACCAGTTTTTCCTGGATCAGTATGTGGCAGTAACCAATTATGACAAACAGGAAAGTACAGAGATCAGCGTGCATCAAGGACAAGTAGTAGAAGTAATTGAGAAAAATGAATCGGGTAAGTTATTTTTAGAAAAACCCAAACTTAGCTTAATGTTAAAGATGAACAATTATCTAATAGTTTCTATCCAAATGTCTCACCCTAAACTACATAGAAACATAACAATAGTGAATGTCAGTTCCCATTCTGCATTGAATATTATGAGTGTTTGCCAAGTTCTAAAGCCAAGAGTTGTACACTAACACATCTATGCTGTTTGTGGCCTGTGAATTTCTGAAATGGTAATGGTGTTGCTTGGCTGGAGTTTAACTACCAATAAATCTCTTGATACTGTCAAAATGTCAGACTGAATGATTTTACAGGATGATGCAATTAAATCTCCTTCTATCACTAACTGTCCTGTGGATTTTTGTAGAGTTATATTTATTGTTTTAAATATTTATCATTAAGCTCCTATTGGTTTTAATGGTGAAGAACACATGTAAGGAATGCAAAAGATACGGCTGAGACATTCACAGCAATCTTCAGCGAGAAGCACAAAGTGGCTGATCCATCTCAGCCTCCTCCACTGGTCCCCAGTATACAGACAACTCTTCAGCAAATTCAATTCACTTCACATAATATCAAAAAATGGTTGGAAGCACTAGATACTGCAAGGGGTATGGGCCCTGACAACATTTCAGCAATCGTAGTGAAGACTTTTGTGGGAGAACTTGCTGCTCCACTAGCCAAACTATTTCAATACAGTTACAACACTGCCATCTACCCAACAGCGTGGAAAATTGCCCACGTATATCCTGTATGCAAAAAGCAGACAAATTCATCCCGTTAGTCTACTCTCAATCATTAATGAAGTGATGGAAGGTGTCATCAACAGTTCTATCAAGCAGCACCTGCTCAGCAATAATCTGCTCAGTGACACCCAGTTTGGGTTCCACCAGGGCCTCTCAGCTCCTGATATCTCCAATAAGAGACAATCTAATCACTGCCCCTTGACAATCTAATCACTGCCCCTTGACATTCAATGGTATTATCCTCACTGAATGCCCACTCAACATCCTGAGGGTTACTGTTGACCAGAAACACAACTGGACTCACCATATAAATATATTGACTTCAAGAACAGGTCAGAGGCGTACTGTGGCAAGTTAACACATCTCTTGACTCCCAAAGCCTGTCCACCATCTACAAGGCACAAGTCGGGTGTGTGATGGAATACTGTCCACTCGCCTGGATGGTTGCAGCTCTAACAACACTCAAGAAGCTTGACATCATCCAGGTCAAAGCAGCCCACTTAATTGGTGCCACATCCACAAGCATCCACTCCTTCCAGCATTGATGCTCAGAAACAGCAGTGTCTATTATCTATAAGATGCACTGCATCTTTCAAACACATGACCACTTCTGTTTAGAAGGGCAAGGGCAGCAGATATGAGAACACCACCACCTGCAAGTTCCCTCCTAGCCACTCATCATCCTGACTTGGAGATATATTGCAGTCCCTTCACTGTCACTGGACCTCCTTTCCTAATGGCATTACAGCACATGGACTGCAGTGGTTCAAAAAGGCAGTTCACCTTCACAAGGGCAAAGAGGTATGAGCAATAAACGGTGGCCAGCCAGGTATATCCATGTTCCACAGGCAAATAAAAACAAAAAAATCTTAAGTGGTAAATAAAGTGGTGAAAAGTTAAGTACTTTTCTCCCAGTGTCCAAGGCCCAAACATGACAGTGCAGAATTTCCAGCCCTACGTCTTTATGCAGCAAGCTTATTCGACACTATGAATGAGAAAAATAATTATTTTTTACATTAGTTTGAAGTGAAATATTTATTCATGATAGCACCGCCTATAGACTTGATACAGTTTTCTTGTTAAATCAAATATTCACTGAAGAAAGTTGTAATTTACCAGACGCTCTTTGAGAGCTAATGTAAATATATTTTTGTATCGTCTAAAAATCTAGTTCTAGTTCTGTAAATGTACACACTTACTATGCCATTTTAGCTCTGTCTTCTGGTCATGTAAATGAAGAGAAAGAAAACTAACTCTGTCTTAGGAAAAGTCTACCTAAAGAACCTGGAATACAATTAATAGTTGCACCATCTATCGTTGGACTGTCTTTATCCAATGGCAATGAGTACTGCCAAATTAATTCTATCACTTAGGTTGGCCTTGAGGCAGTTGTGTAACTTATATTGACAGAAGCAACAGACGTATAAAAGCTATGACTGGATTTCTGCTGATTACACTGTGTAATTGGAAGATTTGAGATAGGTGCTGCGTATTGCAGCTGCCAACTGCTTTCCTTTCACTGGAATGGTGAAGGTTGTGAGAATGCCAAGAACTCCATTCCCTGCTAACAATAGTTCAAAGGTGAAAATCTTAAAATCTTTCAAGAATAATGTACAAATTTCTTTTTGACGATGCTCAACTATACAGAATCCATACATATCCATGCACATACAGAATAAATCCAATTTGCAAGCTTTTCAAAATTGCGGACTGGTCTCTGATCAGGAAGTCATAGCCCGTTAGGGGTTGGACACCATTTTCCACCGATGGGGAGAAGGAGAAGGGATTGTTGTGACCCATGGATGTAAAAAGCCTGAGCTCAGCTGGGCCTTTTGAACTCGGTGCTGAGATTGGACAAAATCCATTGTCACTATAGCAGCGTCTTAGCCTGCAGTGTGGGAGCCATGAGTTTATGAAGGAGATGTAAATGCTCACAAATAGCAGATTAGTTACGAAGAGCTGTCAAGCTGTGAAGTTTTTCAATTTCCCAACCCTTTTACACACATACACACACACACACACACACACACACACACACACACACACACACACA